TGGTGACTCACGCCTGTAATCCCAACACTTTGGGAAGAAGAAGCAGGCAGATCACAAGGCCAGGGAGATCAAGACTATCCTGGTTAACATGGTGAAACCCCATTTCTACTAAAAATACAAAAAATTAGCTGGGTGTAGTGGCGCATGCCTGGAGTCCCAGCTACTGGGGAGGCTGAGGCAGGAGAATTGCTTGAATTCAGGAAGTGGAGATTGCAGTGAGATGAGATCACCCCATTGCACTCCAGCCTGGTGACAGAGTGAGACTCCATCTCATTAAAAAAACAAATTCAGAAGGGACTGATACAGATACAGATAATGCTATAGAGAATAGTAAGACAAGCCAACAGAACATTAAATTAAATCAACAAAACTGAAATCTGGTTTTGGAAAGAATAAGAAAAATAATGTTGACAAGTGTGATTAGAAAAAAAAAGAGCAAACACACAATTAATGTTAAGAATGAAAAAGCAAAATTAAATATATGGAGCATATTTTAAAATTTGTAAGAAGAATTCTACACGTACAATTTTATGCCCTACATTTAAACTCATGGTTGCAGAAAATACCTGAAGAAATGGTAGAAAATTTGAGTAGGAAAACAGCAATATAAGAATATGAAAAAATATTCAAAAATGTTGCTCTTAGCATGTATCTGACTCAGATAATTTTACAGTAGCGTGCACCAAATCTTCAATAGACATATAATTGTAATGCTATGCAAACTGTGCTAGTCATATAACAAAAATGAAAGGCCTTCTAATTCATTCAGTGCAACCAGTGCCTGTATTCCCCAAACAATCGCACTTCCTGTTTCTCCTTTTCTCTCCCTCCCCACACATTGGTTTGAACAATATGCAGTGTTTACATTATTGTGATGCTGGGCATATTAATGTGTATATATATTTTGAAGTTGTAATCTTTTTGAATCATCACTCTCTTCTTCAGGTTATTCCACTCTGTTTGCTTGTTTTGGTTTCTCTCATGTTAGAGTTTCCTCAGATGTTAGCTCATGTTTATGAGGGAGATACTAAAAAGATAACTAGCAATGCTGAGCATGTGGGGTTCACTGCCAGTGGTATTTTGTACTGTTTCATAAGGGAAGCCCTGATTGTCAGTATCTTTAGACGCAGTGTGTTTAGATTTTTCTTCTTGGTTGTATTCTGCAGAGAGACACCTCCCATCTCCTGCCTGGAATGTACAGTCTAGTGTTTTGTGAACCCAGTTGATGAAGAAGGTTTAAGGTCTCAATAGTCAGTGCTCAGAGAAGTTTACTTAATCCCAGGTTTCAATATGGTATCCCCACCTTCATTTGTGCTTCATATTCTCTAGTCCAGACATCTGTTTTATCTTCTTCACAGGCTATACCTTTGGTCTTCTGATGAGTTTGGGGAACAGTAGTCAACCACACAGCATGGAGCAAAGGAGTATACATCTGAGACTGTAGATGTTCAGACTTTCAAGCACTTCTATTTTCAACCTCTTCTTCCACCCTCCTTGCAGAGGTACTTGGTACAGTCAGTTCCTGGGATTTAGGGAGACTCTTCAGTACATAGCATGTTGTTTCTTGGCTTCCTCTACTATCTGCTTAAGATTCAGGTTTCTTTGTTAATTTTAATTTTAAGTTCTGGGGTACTGGTGCAGGATGTGCCAGTTTGTTACATAGGTGAACGTATGCCATGGTGGTTTGCTGCACAGATCAATCCATCACCTGGGTATTAAGTCCCACATGCATTAGGTATTTTTCCTCTGCCACCCTGCCCTCTGACAGGCCTCAATGTGTGTTGTTCCCCTCCCTGTGTCCATGTGTTCACATTGTTCAGCTCCCACTTACAAGTGTGAACATGTGGTGTTTGGTTTTCTGTTCCTGCGTTAGTTTGCTGAGGATAATGGCTTACAACTTGACCCATGTCCCCGCAAATGACGTGATCTCATTCCTTTTTATGGCTGCATAACCATATTTTCTTTATCCAGTCTACCATTTATGGTCATTTAGGTTGATTCTATGTCTTTGCTATTGTGAATAGTGCTGCAATGAACATATGTTTGCATGTATCTTTATAACAGAATGATTCATATTCCTTTGGGTATATAACCAGTAATGGGATTGCTGGGTCAAATGGTATTTCTGATCCTGTCTTTGAGAAATCACTGCACTGTCTTCCACAATAGTTAAACTAATTTACACTCCCACCAACAGTGTAAAAGCGTTCCTTTTTCTCCACAACCTTGCCAGCATCTGTTGTTTTTTGACTTTTAAAAAATAGCCATTGTGACTTGCCTAAGGTGGTATCTCACTGTGGATTTGATTTCCATTTCTCTCTCTCTCTTTTTTTTTTTTTTTTTTTTTTTATAAGATGGGGTTTCACCATGTTGGTCAGGCTGGTCTTAAACTTCCGACCTCAGGTGATCCGCCCTCCTTGGCCTCCAAAGTGTTTGGATTACAGGCGTGAGCCACCATGCCCGGCCGATTTGCATTTCTCTAATGATCAGTGATGTTGAGGTTTTTCATATGTTTCATATATGAAATATATGAAGTTCATTCATGATTTGGGTTTCTGCTTGCCTTTTGCTGGTGTATAAGGATGCTAGCTAATTTTGTACGTTGATTTTATATTCTGAGACTTTGCTGAAGTTGCTTATCAGCTCAAGAAGTTTTGGGGTGAGACAATGGAGTTTTCTAGATATACCACCATGTCATCTGCAAACAAAGATAGTTTGACTTCCTCTCTTTCTATTTGCATAGGCTTTCTTTCTTTCTATTCTTTCTATTGTCTGACTTCCCTGGCCAGAACGTCCAATACTATGTGGAATAGAAATGGTGAGAGAGGGCATTCTTGTCTTGTGCAGGTTTTCAAGGGAAATGCTTCCAGCTTTTGCCCATTCAGTATGCTGTTGGCCATGGATTTGTCATATATGACCCTTATTATTTTGAGGTATATTCCTTAAATACCTAGTTTTTTGAGAGTTTTTAACATGAAAGGATGTCAAAGTTTATCAAAGGCTGTTTCTGCATCTATTGATATAATTGTGTGGTTTTTGTCTTTAGATCTGTTTGATTTGTGTTTGTTGAACCAACCTTACATCCTGGGGATGAAGCCAACTTGATCTTGGTGGATAAGCTATTTGATATGCTGCTGGATTTGGTTCGCCAGTATTTTATTGAGGATTTTTGAATTGATGTTCATCCAGGATATTGGCCTGAAGTGTTCTTTTCTTTTGTTGTATCTCTGCCAGGTTTTGATATCAGGATGATGCTGGCCTCATAAAACAAGTTAGGGAGGAGTCCCTACTTTTCAGTTTTTAAGAATTGTTTCAGTATAAATGATGCCAGCTCTTCTTTGTACCTCTGGCAGAATTTGGCTGTGAATCCATCTGGTCCTAGGCTTTTTTTGTTTGGTAGCCTGTTTATTACTGTCTCAATTTCAGAACTCATTATTGGTCTATTTAGGGCTTCAATTTCTTCCTGATTCAGTCTTGGTAGGTGTATGTGTCCAGGAATGTATCCATTTATTCTGGATTTTCTAGTTTATGTGCATAGAGTGATTATTGTGTTATCTGATGGCTGTTTGTATTTCTGTGGGGTCAGTGGTGATGTCTCCCTTATAATTTCTGATTGTTTATTTGAATCTCCTCTCTTTTATTCTTTATTAGTCTAGCTAGTGGTCTACCTATTTTATTAACCTTTTCAAAGAACGAGCTCCTGGTTTCGCTGATTTTTTGAGGTTTTTTTTTTTTTGTGTGTCGCTATCTCCTTCAGTTCAGCTCTGATCCTAGTTAATTCTTGTCTTCTGCTAGCTTTGGGGTTTGTTTGCTCTTGATTCTCGAGTTCTTTTAGTTGAGATGTTAGGTTGTTAACTTGGGATATTTCTAGCTTTTTGATGTGAGAATTTAGTACTATAAATTTCCCTCTTAACACTGCTTTAGCTACGCCCCAGAGATTCTGGTACACTGTCTCTTTGTTCTCATTATTTGCAAAGAATTTCTTGATTTCTGCCTTAACTTTATTATTTACCCAAGAGACATTCAGAAGAAGGTTTTCCAATTTCCTTCTTCTGAATGTTCTGAGTCAATTTCTTAATCTTGAGTTGTCATTTGGTTGTACTGTGGTCTAAGAGACTGTTATGATTTCAGTTCTTTTGCATTTACTGAGCAGTGTTTTACTGCTGATTATATGATCAATTTTAGTATAAGTGCCATGTGGCAATGATAAGAATGTATGTTGTGTTGAATTTGGATGGAGAGTTCTGTAGTTATCTATTAGCTCCACTTGATCCAGAGCTGAGTTCAGGTTTTAAATATCTTTGCTAATTTTCTGTCTCAAGGATCTGTCTAATATTGACAGCAGCATTTTAAAGTCTCCCAGGATTATTGTATGGAGTCTAAATATCTTTGTAGGTCTCTAAGAGCTTGCTTTATTAATCTGGGTGTTCTTGTATTGGGTGCATATATATTTAAGATAGTTAGCTCTTCTTGTTGAATTGAACTTTTACTACTGTGTAATGCCCTTTTTTGTCTTTTTTGAACTTTGGTGGTTTAAAATCTGTTTTGTCAGAAACTAGGATTTCAACCCCTGCTTTTTTCTGTTTCCATCTGCTTTGTAAATTTTCCTCCATCCCTTTATTTTGAGCCTATGTGTGTCTTTGCATGAGATAGGTATCTTGAAGATAGCATACGCATGTGTCATCACTCTATCAAGCTTGCCACCTTTGTCTTTTAATTGGGACATTTAGCCCATTTACATTTAAGGTTAGTATTGCTATGTGTGAATTTGATCCTATCAGCATGATGGTAGCTGGTTATTTTGCAGGCTTATTTATGTGGTTGCTTCATGGTGTCACTGATGTGTGTAATTCATTGTGTTTTTATAGTGCTGGTAGTTGTTTTTTCTTTTCATATTCAGTGTTTCCTTCAGGAGCTCTTGCAAGGCAAGCCTGGTGTTGAAAAATTCACTAAGGATTGCTTGTCTGTAAATGACCTTACTTCCTTTTTTGCTCACGAGGAAAAATATGGAATGCTTCATAAGTTTTCATGTCATCTTTGTACAAGGGACATGCTAATCTTCTATCATTCCATTTTAGTATATATGCTGCTGAAGTGAGAATCAAAAGTTTTTCCTTTTTTTTTTTTTGCCAATCAGTTTGAGCTTATAAGGTTGCTCAGGTTAGCCTTGAACTCATGACCTCGCCTTCGCAAGCGCCACGATCTCCGGTGGGAGCCACGTTGGACCCCTCAAAAGCTTTTCTTAATGGCTGCATAAATCTTCAGTCATACTTCAAATGATAGTTGTCCATTTTTCTTTCACCTTTTTACATTATCAAATAAATTCATAAGGAACACATATATATTCATAGATGTGGAGGTTTCTATTAAACGTAGAAAAGGAATTGCTCAATGTGTGCTGCTTTTCAGTGCAAGTAGCAGAACTCTAACCAGCAATGGTTTAAACCAGCAATATATTAACTATTTAGTGAAGAAAAAATTTGGTAGAAGATAGTTACACTTTGAGTGTTCAAAGTCATAGTCCACAAGCCAAGCTCTTTTCATAATTCTGTTCTTCCATTCCTTGGCATATCGCCTATTGGTTACAAGATGTCTACTGAAGCTCCAGATATTCACATAACAAGATACATGGTATAATGGGAAGGAAGACAGCAAACAAACCCTGTTTTATATAATTCTCTGTAAGGTAGAACTGTATTGCCCCAAATAAACTTTATCTTACATCTAGGTAGCCAAAAACAGTTTCAAATACACCCATCTCTAACAGTCAATGGTCAAGTGGAATGGCATGTTATGACTTGTTTGGACTGGTTGCACTGGTCCTTAGACAAGAACATGGCCCTATCAGTGAAGACAAAAAGACATAGAGAAAATAACCCTTGGAAAGGCAACCAACAGTGTCTGCCATGATGTGATATGGAATTGATTAATATGCTACTTAGACATCCTCAGTAAAATATCTGTTAGGGAAACCGGAGCTTAGCAGAACCAGGGTGACACCATTTTAAGATCAGCTCCAACTGGAGACTAAAAAGGCACTTTCCGTTCCAGCTATGACTCATCGTCATAAAGTGTTCATAGTTGAGAAAAACCTACAAGGACACGCTACAATAGCAGAAGGTCTAGATGTCCCAACACTCAAAAACAATATGTGCTTTTAAAATAATTATATTTATGTTTTGATGTACTTGCCCACTAAAATGTCAAGGATAGTTCTCTTTTAATCACTAGAATAATAAATTCTCTTATCCCGTCTGCTCTCCTGAACATAGTTACAGCTTAGTTTAGGCTTTACATGGACAGGACGCCTATATAAGAAAAGCTTAAAGATATTGCATTCTTCTGCTTATTTTTTTCTCTTCTTTTTTAAAAACCATATTTATTATACTTTAAGTTCTGGGGTACATGGGAAGATGGTGCAGGTTTGTTACATAGGTATACACGTGCCATTGTTGGGGTTTGCTGCATCCATCACCCTATCATCTACATTAGACATTTCTCCTAATGCTGTCCCTCCCCAATCCCCCTACCCCCTGCTATTCCTCCCTTATCCCCCCACACCCCAGGCCCCAGTATATGATGTTCCCCACCCTGTGTCCGTGTGTTCTCATTGTTCAACATCCACTTTCGAGTGAGAACATGCCTCTGCTTAATTTCTGAGGATGCCCTACTCTATATCAGCGTAGCTTTCAAAATCTTATCACTGCACTCTGCAACTCACCTTGAATTCTTTCTTGTGTGAGATCCAAGAATCCTCTCTTTAGATGTGGGTTGAGAGCCCTTCTTCCATGTCCCTGCAAAGGACATGATCTTCTTCCTTTTTATGGCTGCATCATGTTACTTGTGTTTGATAAGTCAGTTATCAGCTTTTCCACTTGTAAAATTTTGATCCTGCCATCTCCTCCTATACTGACTTGCTCTCTCTCTCTCTCTCTCTCTTTCTCTGTGTGTGTGTGTGTGTGTATGTGTGTGTATCCATCTAGTACTTTATAATTTTCCTGGTGTTTCATGAAGTAGTGGAGGCATTGTCATGAAAGCCAAGCTGAAGAGTGAGGTGAATGAACTTGAAAGTGTGAATGAAATTGTTGTTTTGGGAAAATTATTACAGCAACAATGTACAGGATGGATGAGAAGGGGGAGAAAACAGAAGTAGCTTATTTCTCCCTTGCCTATAGTATCCTTCTTCTTACTTCTCAGTTTTCTTTTTTTTTTTTAGTTTCCTTTTTTTAAATTACACTTTAAATTCTGGGGTACATGTGCAGAAGGTGCAGGTTTGTTACATAGGTATACACGTGCCATGGTGGTTTGCTGCACCCATCAACGTATCATCTTCATTAGATATTTCTCCTAATGCTATCCCTCCCCTAGTCCCTCAGCCCCTGACAGGCCCTGGTGTGTGATATTCCCCTCCCTGTGTCTGTGTCCATGTGTTCACATTGTTCAACTATCACTTATGAGTGAGAACATGTGGTGTTAGGTTTTCTGTTCCTGTGTTAGTTTGCTGAGAATGATGGTTTCCAGATTCATCCATGTCCCTGCAAAGGACATGAACTCATCCTTTTTATGGCTGTGTAGTATTTCATGTCATATATATGCCACATTTCTTTATCCAGTGTACATTGATGGGCATTTTCTTTATCCAGTGTATCATTGATGGGTTCCAAGTCTTTGCTATTGTGAATAATACTGCAATAAACATACGCGTGCATGTATCTTTATAGTAGAATGATTTATAATCCTTTGAGTATATACCCAGTAATGGGATTGCTGGGTCAAATGTTATTTCTGGTTCTAGATACTTGAGGAATCACCACACTGTCTTCCACAATGGTTGAACTCATTTACGCTCCCGCTAATACTGTAAAAGTGTTCATATTTCTCCAAATCCTCTCCAACATCTGTTGATTCATGACATTTTAATGATCGCCATTCTAACTGATGTGAGATGGTATCACATTGAGGTTTTGATTTGCATTTCTCGAATTACCAGCGATGAAGAGCTTTTAAAAATATGTTTGTTGACTGCATAAATGTCTTTTTTTGAAAAGTGTCTGTTCATATCCTTTGCCCACTTTCTGATGGGGTTGGTTTTTTTTTTCTTGTAAATTTGTTTAAATTCCTTATAGCCCCTGGATATTAGACCTTTGTCAGATGGATAGATTGCAAATATTTTCTCCCATTCTGTAGGTTGCCTGCTCACTCTGATGCTAGTTTCTTTTGCTGTGCAGAAGAAGCTCTTTAGTTTAATCAGATCTTGTTTGTCAATTTTGGCTTTTGTTGCCATTGCTTTTTGTGTTTTAGTCATGAAGTCTTTGCTCATGCCTGTGTCCTGTATGGTATTGCCTAGGTTTTTGTCTTGAGTTTTTATGGCTCTAGGTCTTACATTTAAGTGTTTAATCCATCCTGAGTTAATTTTTGTATGAGGTATAAGGAAGGGGTCCAGTTTCAGTTTTCTGCATATGGCTAGCCAGTTTTTCCAACACCATTTATTAAATAGGATATCTTTAACCTGTTGCTTGTTTTTGTCAGGTTTCTCAAAGATCAGATGCTGTAGATGTGTGGCATTATTTCTGAGGCCTCTGTTCTGTTCCATGGGTCTATGTATCTGTTTTGCGACCAGTACCATGCTCTTTTGGTTACTGTAGCCTTGTTGTATAGTTTGAAGTCATGTAGTGTGATGCCTCCAGCTTTGTTCTTCTTGCTTAGGATTGTCTTAGCTATAAGGGCTCTATTTTGATTCCACATTAAATTTAAAGTAGTTTTTTCCAATTCTGTGAAGAAAGTCAATGTTAGCTTGATAGGAATAGCATTGAATCTTGAAATTGCTTTGGGCAGTATTGCCATTTTCATGATATTGATTCTTCCTGTCCATGTGCATGGAATTTTTTTTGTTTTTGTTTCTGTCCTCTCTTATTTCCTTGAGAACTGGTTTGCAGTTCTCCTTGAAGAGGTCCTTCACTTCCCTTGTTAGTTGTATTCCTAGGTATTTTATTCTCTTTGTAGCAATTATAAATTGGAGTTCATTCCTGACTTGGCTTTCTGTTTGTGTATTATTGGTGTATAGAAATGCTTGTGATTTTGCACATTGATTTTGTATCCTGAGATTTTGCTGAAGTTGCTTTTCAACTTAAGGAGATTTTGGGCTGAGATAATGGGGTTTTCTAAATATACAATCATGTCATCTGCAAACAGAAACAATTTGACTTCCTCTCTTCCTATTTAAATATGCTTTATTTCTTTCTCTTGCCTGATTGCCGAGGGCAGAACTTCCAGTACTATATTTAATAGGAGTGGTGAGAGAGGGCATCCTTGTTTTGTTCCAGTTTTCAAAGGAAATGCTTCCAGCTTCTGCCCATTCAGCATGATATTGGCTGTAGTTTTGTCATGAATAGCTCTTATTATTTCAAGATACATTCCATCAATACCTAGTTTATTGAGAGTTTTTAGCTTGAAGGGCTGTTGAATTATATTGAAGGCCTTTTTTTGCATGTATTGAGATAATCATGTGGTTTTTGTCATTGGTTCTGTTTATGTGATCAACTATGTTTATTGATTTGTGTATGTTGAACCAGCCTTGCATCCCAGGGATGATGCCAATGTGATCATGGTGGGTAAGCTTTTTGATGTGCTGCTGGAATTAGCTCCCAGTATTTTATTGAGGATTTTCATTTCAATGTTCATCAGGGATATTGGCCCAAAATTTTCTGTTGTTGTTGTGGCTCTGCCAGGTTTCAGTATCGGGATGATGCTGGCCTCATAAAATGAGGGAGGAGTCCCTCTTTTTCTGTTGTTTGGAATAGTTTCAGAAGGAATGGTACCAGCTCCTCTTTGTACCTCTGGTAGAATTTTGCTATGAATCTGTCTGGTCCTGGGCTTTTTTTTTTTTTTTTTTTTTTTTTTGCTTGGTAGGCTATTAATTACTGGCTCAATTTCAGAGCTTGTTATTGGTCTATTCAGGGATTGGACTTCTTCCTCATTTAGTCATGGGAGGGTGTATGTGTCTAGGAATTTAACTACTCCTTCTAGATTTTCTAGTTTATTTGTGTAGAGGTGTTATACTATTCTCGTGGTAGTTTGTCTTTCTGTGGGGTCATTGGTGACC